AGCTTAGGTCTCCAGACTCACCCAATACTACTCCATTTTGCTCCAGAAAGACAGGTCTCCTTAATTCTCCATGATTGCAACCATCCTCCATGCCATTTGTGTAGCCTCTGCCTTGACTATCCTTTCCCTCCTCCACTTCAACTACTATAAATTCTACCCTCCCTTAAAACCCAAATCAAACGGCCCTTCTTCCTGGAGCCAGCCAGAAGCACCCTCTCAAGCCTGTGAGCTATCGGAGTATCTGGAATCTCTTAATCACTTTTGCGTTCTACTCCATATTATGTTTATTTGCATGGATATCTTAGGGAGGTAGTATGGTGAAGTGAATAGTGAGTCAGCCTTGAAAACAAGAAGACCTGAGTTTGAGTCCCATCTCTAGCATATTCTGGCTATGTGACCCTGGACAAGTCACTTAACCTCCTAGTACCCTAAGTTACTCTACAAGAATACAAGATGCAGAGTGTGCAGACTTCTCTTGGGAGATTGAGTTTCCAAAACTCTGAGGTCTAATCCCTATCTTATTTTCCCCTACTAGACTGTAAGCTCCTTGAGGGCAGGGTCCATGTCACATAAATCTTGGTATTGTTCTCAGAGTCCAGTACTTTATGCACAGTGTGTCCTCGATATACATCTAGCAACAACCAGTGTTCTCATCATCTTCCCAAAGAGAGAAACACCACAGCCATGGGCACTGTGTCTTGAGTGGTCCCTGCGTGGTCCAAAGTACATCCCACTGTTGTATCCCATCAGTGTTAGAGTTAGGTGGTACAGTGCATAGAGTGTTAGACTTGGATTCAGAAGGCTCTGAGTTCAAACGCAGCCTCAGACACTAACTGTGTGACCCTGGGCGAGTCATATAACATCTCTGAGTCTCATTTTCCTCAGTTGTAAAATGGGGATAAATATAGGACAGGTTACCTTCCAGGGCTGTTGTGAAGCTCAAATGAGACAGCATTTGTAAACTGCTTCCTTAGCACTTAGCAAACCTTCAGGTGCTATATAAATGCTAGCTATCGCTACTATTATTATTAATTGCTGTTGCTATTATCATTCCTAAATGAGGAAGGGGCATACTTTCTACTGTACCATTTTTTAAGTTGACGCTAACACTCTTGGCGGGGAGGTGTGAAGTGGTCATGCTTCAGAAACTCGAAAATTACTCCTGCAAACGACCAATTACAAGGTAATCAGACCTATTCAGAAACCTGTGTTGGGGTTAGAAGCCCTTTGTGCAGCTGAATATTTTCCTCTGAAGGCAGAGTAAAAAGCCATCATCTAATTCTGTAATGTAAACAATATAATAATTACATGCATACTGATAAAGAATGAGGAGATCAAAGCCAGAAACCCCTCGCCAAGTCTAGTTGGCAAATGACAACGTCAGTGGTGCGCGGGCGTCCACAGAGCAAAAAGCACGTCTGGGTGATTCCCTGGTAGGAAGGCCCATCTCGCATCCCACAAAGTGTCCACAATGCCACGAATGCAGGCTCACTGTGTGCGAGGTCCCATGATGAGTAGGTTCACTGATATAATCAGTGGGCCACATGGCCACAGGGGCTCTTAACTGGGCTTCCACGAACTCTTTTTTTCCTTCAATATTTCTATCGCTGTATTTCAATATAATTACTTTCCTTAGTAAATCGACAAGTATTTATTGTGTTTACTATGTGCCAGGCACTGTGCTAACCACTGGTAATACAATTATGAGTAGATAGTTTTCATTTTTGGGGGGTCATCTTATGTATTTTATTTCATGCATTTTAAAATTTAGAGGAAGTTAACTGGCTCAGTGAATAGAGTATTGAACTTGGAGTCAGGCATACTTGAGTTCAAATTCAGCCTAGCTGTGTGACCCTAGGCAACTTAATCAATCTCTGCCTCAGTTTCCCCATCTGTAAAATGGGGATCATAATAGCAGACACCACTCAGGGTTGAGGTGGGGATTAAATGAGGTAATATTTGTAAAACACCTTGCAAAACTTAAAGTGCTATGTAAATAAAATAAAGCTATTATTTGAAGACATTCTGGAAAGGGGACCACGGGCTTTATCAGACCACCAAAGATGTCCAGGACACCAAAGATAGTTAGAACCCCTGGTGTAGTTGATAGAGCACTGGGCCTAAAGTCAGGAAGACCTGAATTCAAATCCTGCCTCGGATATTTACTGTGACATCCGGTGAGTGGATTCACAACTCTGGGTCTCAGTATCTTCATCTGTAAAATGAAGGAGGCTGGACTTGATGACACGTAACGTCCCCTCCAGTTATAAATTTATGATCTTTTGGCCCCTTGATCCTCTGCTTGCTGCCATCTGTTTCTTTTAGGCTGGACTTATGTAAAAAGCAAATTATAGAATCACAAAATTTAGAGCTGGAAGGACCCCAGAAATCATGCACTCCAAACCTGTGATGCTTAAACACGCATTTGTTTATGCACTCACTTGTAATCTGTAACCTCTCCCATTGAACCAAAAACAGAAAGAAAAAGAAAAAGAAAACACCCATCATAAACATTCGGAGTCCAGCAAAACCAAACCCACAGTGGCCATGAGCAAAAAGGTCGCTTTGTCTCTGCATCGTCAGCTCATTCCCACTCTGCAGGAGGTGAGTGACGCATTTCTTCTTCAGTCTTTCGGACTCATGGTCTGTCCTTGCATTGATCAGGGTTCTTAAATCTTTCCCAGCTGATTGCTGTTACTGTGTACACTGTTCCCCTAGTTCAGTTCACTCCACTTTGCATCAGTTCATACAAGTCTCGCCAGGTTTCTCTGGAACCATCCCCTTCATCACTTCTTACCGCACAACAGTGTTTCATTACATTCATACGCTGCAATCTGCTTAGCAATTACCCAACAGGAAGGCAGTTCCTTAGTTTCTCACTTTTAGCTGCTATGAAAAGAGTGGGTATGTATGTGTGTGTGTATACATACATACATACGTACACACATCTATGTATACATTTGTATATACACATACATATATGTATATAGGCATACACACAATATTTCAGTGTGTATGCACATGTATATGTATATATTATTTGTGTGTATGTCTATATACACATATATATTTTTTACATATGGACCATTTTCCTCTTTATTTTGTACTCTTTGGGGTATGTATCTAGTAGTTGTATCCCTGGATCAGAATGTGCATACCTGGGTTAGGTATGCACAATTTAGCAACTTTTTGCCAAACCTCATGATTTTACTGGTGAAGAAACTGAGGCCTGGGTCACTGAAGAAACTTGGCCAAGGGGAAAGAGGTGATTAAATGACAGGGCCAAGATTCAAACCCAGGTCTTTTGACTCCAAAGCCAGGGCTCTTCCCCCAATTCCTTAAAGCTTCATCACAACTACAGCCTAAAGTCTTTGCTACAAAGCAAGGTGAGAGGAGCTGAGGCACCAGAAAACAGACAAGAACCCACAGGGCCAGTGAAGGACAATTTGGAGTCATGGCTCCCTTCCCAACAAACTGCCCTTGAAATGATTCTATCTCTCTCTCTGCATCTTTCCTAACTAAAGAATATCAGTGACCACCAGCATGGCTGTTTCATCTCCTGTGGACAGTAACACCTAATCGAATGATTGCCGCACCAGTGCTCTCCAAACTTCTTCCAATAGTACACCCCTCTCAGTTAAAAAAAAATCTTTGAGGATACAACTCCAATATGTGTATATTTACTTATTTGCAATTACACACATTGACTGCTGTGCTAATAATAGCATATATCATAAAACTTAGACAGAAATGGAAATTTAGAAAAATAAGATAAAGATGAAATATAGTCAACAAGAAGCCATGAGAATTTATTGAGTAGGGGAGTAGCAGTGTCAGACCCGTGCTTTGGAAAAATCACTTTCACAATTATGTGTAGGATGGATCTGAGATGGAGGAGACTGGAGGCATGGAGCCCTATTAGGAGGCTACTTAAATATTCTAGGTAATAGCTCACAAGGGCCTGAACTAGAGTGAGGGCTGGGTGAGTAGAGAGAAGGGAACAGATGTCAGAGATACTGGGGAGGTCTTGAAATACTAAGATTTGGCAACTGGATATCTAGGAAAGGAAGGGATAGGAACCTGGGTTGCCTGAAGGCTAGAGGTACTAACAGTAATAAACAGATTTGGAAGAGGAGAGTATTTGGGAAACAAGATCAGCCCTGCAGAGCACAAGCCATCTGTACTGATTCATTATGAGTGACACTCTCTCTCTCTCTAATAATGCACATGAAGGGAGTGAGAGTATTACTCAGTTGTTCACTGCACCAGGGCACAGAACTGGTCCTCCTGTAGTGAAGTGACCTGGGGGCTACAAGTGTCGAGGGGAAATGTGGTTGTACTGTAGACAAACTCCTCAACTGGCCATTTTGAGAAAGAATGGGATGTGACTCATCTTCCTACCTTCTGATTGGTTGATCACAAGCCCCTCCCCTTGGGGTCAAGCTATGGAGAACGCTGACTTAGAGGATAAAACCCTATGAAAAAAATGAAGGCTTTTCTTCATTGATTATTAACCCTAGTGAAGAAGGAAGTATATGGTGGAAATCCAAGCAAGATCTGAAGTAGGAATACTCTCATTATTGGATCTGAGCTGATTATTCTTCCTTTTCATCTTTAAATGGTCCTATCAGCCTAGCTGTTTCATGACCTCAATCCTCAATTTCCCACCTCCGTGCATTTGCAGAAGCCATTCCCCACGCTTGGAATGTACTGCCTCTCAGAGTCCTACTCTTCCTTCAAAGCTCAATCCAAGTGCCAACTCCTCCCAAATCCTTCCCTGATTACCCCAGTCCTTAGACTTCCTCCCTCCTCAATTTTTCTTGTACATATTTATTTGTACACATATTATGCCCCCCTAGTGTGATGCCAAGTTGGTGTCTTTGTCTTACTGGTGCCTAGAACAGCCTTCCACAAAGCAGGTACTGAATAATATTTGTTGAATGAAATGGAATCTAGGACAACTTCCCCATCCCTCCCCCTCCTGGGCAGACCCTCGTTACCTCATAGGCATCTCTGATGTTCAAGGGCTGCCCCAGAGCCGCCACATGACCCACAATTCCCTTGTTCCATTCTAAGCGAATACAGCTATTGGAAGCTTCTTCCAGAGTGGAGCCTTCCGCGACGTCAAACAGGCGACTGATGAGGAATTTGTCATTGGAGCTGTCCTCACAAACCAGGAAAAGGGAATAGCGATCGGCAGAGATCAGCCCATGGATGTGTAAGAAGATTTTGTGACAAAGCGCTGCGACGTCTAAATGACTGGAAATATCTTTCACAAGCTCCAAGAGCCTTGAGCACTGATCTCCTGTGTCAGGACTAAACCTGGGGGGCTGCAGAGGCATCTGTTCCTTCTTTTCTGAGTCACAGAGGAAGCTCACAGTGCCTTCAGCGTCCTTGACCACTATGGGCCGGAGTGGCCTGTCAAACTCGGAGGCTGAGATCTTCCTGGTGGGGGTGCTGGGGGCAGTGGTCTCGGAACGGGGACTCTGTTGAGTAGGACAAGAGCAGGACTCCGTGTGACCTCTGACTCCTTCCTTACAGACTGGGATAGGATGAATTCTCTCAGCAAACCATGCATTGACCATCTCTCTGCAGAATGACATAGTAAAAAAATAATAATAATAATTCAATATTTCAAAGAGAGGAGGGAGAACGTAACTCACATTTAGGAAAAGTGATCAGAGGACAGACGATTAAGTATTTGATTTACCAGGAGAAATTCAATCAATCCACAAACATTTATTAAGTACTGACTATATGCCAGGCACCAAGCAGAGAGCCAGGGATATGAAGAAAGGGAAACAGAGCCACAGTATAACTCAGGGGATTTCTCAAATGCAGAAAGCAGTGCATATTTGCTTCAATTAACATTTCAGTGATATTAACTCTCAATTACCCATACAAAGATTATTTAATTATAACCTAGAATGCATCTCAGCTGCCTCCTCTACAATCATTTGGTTTTTGCTCACGGAATAAAGATGGAATTTTAATATTAACCTAAGGAGAATTGGATTAACAAGGCAAATCCAGTCGGGTTAAGCCTAAGGATTTATTCCAAAATGAAATATCAACGACTTTTCTAAAAGATGTCTGCTCTTTTAAATGATCTGTTAGGGCATATAATGTGGGGTCAGGCGAGGTAAGACCATCGTAAGGAAACAGAACACCCTTAAATTGCAAATGAAGAAAAATGTGTGTGCAATAACTACATATGTTTCTAATATACTCTTCTATCAAACAATCAGCCATAATAAGTGTGGATATGAATCAAGGTTGATTTCTCAACTAACTAGGCCTTGTGAGTTGTGTTCCTTCAAAGTAGCTATGGACACATATCCCATTAAAACTGCCGTTGCTCAGTCCCCTTCCCCTTCCTTTTTTCTTGCTTCCATCAGAGCCAATTTATAAGGTGTAAAAGAACATTCTTGTTAGTGAAGAGTCACAGCTCATTTTTCACCTGGCTCGATCATCCACCTCCGCTGAGAATGCCTTTTGTTCATTTCCAAAAATCAAATCTTGCCTCAAAGGAGAAAAGTGAAATGTCCCCACTGGGGATATTCCAGGGAATGTGTCAGACTTTTAAAAAAATTCAATTTTATTTTATTTTCATTCCCAAATTCTCTTTCTATCTCCCCCTACCTTATCCATTGAGAGAGTAAATCAAACAAAGCCCATCACAAATATGTACAGTCAAAACAATTTCCTGCACTAGCCATGTCTGTATATACATATATGTGTGTTTGTATAAACACACATGCTTCAATCGACACTGAATTCATCAGCTCTTTATCTGGAAGTGGCTAGCATGTTGAATCATGAGTCTGCTGGAATTGTGGTCGATACCGCTGTGCTGACGAGAGTTACTAAGTCTTTCACAATTGATTATCTTTACAATATTGCCATTACTGTATAACTTGTTCTGCTTTTGCTCACTTCACTTTGCATCAGTTCATACGGCTCTTCCCAGGTGTTTCTGAAACCATCAACTTCATCCTATCTTACAGTACAATAGTATTCCATTACATTCATACACCACAACTTGTTCAGACATTCCGTAATTGATGGGTTTCTCAACAGTTTCCAATTCTTTACCACCATGAAAAGAGCTTGAGCTAGAATGTCTGAAAGAAATTTAATTGAAGGGGTGATGGAATACCACCATCAAGGAAAGATACATGGAAATGAATGACTTAATGTATTTTTCCAAGAATGTCTTAAGCACTTACTACCTGGCAAGCATTGTGCTAAGCCCTGGGGATATGAATACTTTGTATTCAGTTAAGACTGTCCCTGCCTTCAAGGGGTTTATAATGTAATGGAGGAAATAGCATTTTTAGGGAAGTAGAGTGATGGCTTAGGAAAGTATTTTGGTTTGACAAGTTACAGGAATGGTAAGCGGAGCCTGAGGAAAGTAGAACTGATATACCTTTCCAAGGAGCAATGACAGAGCTGATTTCATCATTGTTTATCAGTTCAGAACTTAAAAAAGGAGAGGGATGATGCAATGATTTGTGAAGATTTGAGGAAGGGATGCAGGAAGGCCAGAAGGAAAGAAGGAAGAGAAAAAAGAAAAAAGGAAGGAAGGAAAAAAAGAAAAAAGGAAGAAAGAAAAAAAAAAAACCCTGTTTGCCTCAGTTTCCTCACCTGTCAAATAAGCTAAAGAAGAAAATGGCAAACCAATCCAGTATCTTTGACAAGAAAATCCCAAAAGGGGTCAGAAAGAGTCAGATACAACTGAAATGCCTGAACAACATCAAAAAATTTTGCATGTCTTAATATGCACAATAGATATTATACTGCTTGCTTTCCAATGGGCAGGGGAAGGGCTGGAGGAAGAGAAAGAATTTGGAACTAAAGTTTTTTTTTTTTAAAGAATATAAATACTTATTTTTTTTAAAGCAAGAAAGAATAAAGCCTTGCACTTAAGTACAGATATAGAACAGGCAAAACTGCAGTTGCTGAGAAGATGACTTAGGGATTTGAGACAACCACACCCCTAACGTGAATCAACAATATGCCAAGGATACTATGCCCAGTCCTAGGCTGTATTAATAGGAGGGCCTACAGGAGACAGGAAGGAAGAGCCCCAGGACACTGTGCTCAGGTCAGATAACATCTACAGCACTGAGATCACTTGTGGAAACCATATTTCAAAGGGGTCGTGGCAAAGTGGGACTCATATTAGAGCCATGCATCCAGGAGCAGGCAACAGAGGATGTCAAAGGAATGCAAAGCCATTCCACATAATGAAAGGTTGGCAGAACTAAGGATGTTAATCAAGGGCAAGAGGTGGAGCAGGCATAATCACTACCTCTAAATATAGGATGCTTGTCATGTAGAGGAAAAATTATCTACATTTTATAGCACCAGAGGGCAGAATAAGGACCAGTCAATTAATCAACTATCATGGTGGTACGATGGACATAGTGTTGGGCACGAGATCAGGAAGACTCTTCTTTCTGAGTTTAAATGTGGCCTCAGATACTTATTAGCTTTGTGACTCTGGGCAAAGCATTTAACCCTGTTTGCCTCAATTTCCTCATCTATCAAATCAGCGGTAGAAGGAAATGGCAAACCATTCCAGTATCTCTGCCAAAACCCCAAATGGGGTCATAAAGAGTCAGACATGACTGAAACAACTGAACAACAACAAAGCATTTCTAATGCCATGGCTAATATGTTCCAGATGGTGTTAGAAGATAAAGATAGAAAAAAACATATGGGGGCGGAGACAAGATGGCAGAGTCAAAGCAAAGACTTGCTTGAGCTGTCCCTCAGACCCCTCCAAATACCTGTAAAAAATGGCTCTAAACAAATTCTAGAGCAGCAGAACCCACAAAAAGACAGAGTGAAACCAATTTCTATCCCAAGACAACCTGAATGGTTGATTGGAAAGGTCTATCACGCCAGGCTGGGAGAGGAATGCAGTTCAGTGTGGGTGTACGTGCAAAGACTAGGCCTCAGAGAACCTGGAGCAGGCCTCGGGGGACCGAATCATGGGCAGTTATGGCAGTTTCCAGACTTCTCAACCCACAAATGCCAAAGACAACTTAGAAGGTCAGAAGGAAAGGTCTGTGACTGCAGTGAGAGAGAAGCTCAGTCCCAGCCCCAGTCCTGGCATGGCCCTGGGGCAGCAGCTGCTTCTGGAGCTCTCGGTCCACAGACTGAGGGGGAATCCAGTGGCTGATTGGAGGGACCTTGCAGGGATCTCTTTGCTGGCACCGAGGTAGGATTCTCTGGTTTTGCCCGTGCTTGGAACTGGGTCACAGTTCTAGGTAGCGATCCTGGGGCGAGGAGGAGTGCTGGCATGATGGAGCTTGCAGTGATGGTGGAGAGGAAATCCTCCTCATAGTTCAAAGGCATAAAAGAATGTTTGTGGTCATTCATAGACCAGAGGCCAGGCCAGGAAAGGAGTAAACACCTTGACCTTGATTGTACCACCTTGGAAGAACTGAAAATTTATAGGTCCCTAGAAGTATCTCTGAAAACAGCTGCACAAAACCCCTGAAGCTTGGGACAATACATTCTCTACACTGGAAGCAGACCCCTACCTTAACAAAGAGTTTAAAACTCAAGTAATTGGCTGGGAACATGAGCAAACTGCACAAAAAAAGTCAGACCATAGAATCTTTCTTTGGTGACAAAGAAGATCAAAACATACAACCAGAAAAAAGACAACAAAGTCAAAGCTCCTACATCCAAAACCTCCAAGAAAAATATGAATCAGTCCCAGGCCTTGGAAGAGCTCAAAAAGGATTTTGAGAAGCAAGTAAGAGAACTAGAGGAAAAACTGGGAAGAGAAATGAGAGTGATGCAAGAAAATCATGAAAAATAAGTCAACAACATGCTAAAGGAGACTCAAAAAAAATACTGAAGAAAATAACACCTTAAAAAATAGCCTAACCCAAATGGCAAAAGAGGTCCAGAAAGCCAATGAGGAGAAGAATGTCTTAAAAAGCAGAATTGGCCAAATGGAAAAGGAAGTTCAAAAGCTCAATGAAGAAAATACTTCTTTAAAAATTAGAATGGAGCAATTGGAAGCTAGTGACTTTATGAGAAATCAAGACATTGTAAAACAAAAACCAAAAGAATGAAAAAAAAATAGAAGACAATGTGAAATATCTCATTGGAAAAAAAACTGACCTAGAAAATAGATCCAGGAGAGATAATTTAAAAATTATTGGACTATCTGAAAGCCATGATCAAAAAAGAGCCTAGACATCATCTTTCAAGAAATTATCAAGGAAAATTGCCCAGATATTCTAGAAATAGAGGGTAAAATAGAAATTGAAAGAATCCACCAATCACCTCCTGAAAGAGATACCTAAAGGAAAATATTCCTAGGAATATTGTAGCCAAATTCCAGAGTTCCCAAGTCAAGGAGAAAATATTGCAAGCAGCCAGAAAGAAACAATTCAAGTACTGTGGAAACACAATCAGGATACCACAAGATGTAGCAGCTTCTACATTAAGGGACCAGAAGGCTTAGAATATGATATTCTGGTGGGCAAAGGAGATAGGATTACAGCTAAGAATCACCTACCCAGCAAAACTGAGTAAAAGCCTTCAGGGGAAAAATGGACACT